AGTGATTGATCACAAAACTTCCAAAATCTGCTGAGATGTTTCTAGTTGTTCTAACTTTTTCCATGTAACCTCCATGAAGTAATATTCAGGGGTATAGAGGGAAGGGAGTAAGTAAGCCTCAGGGAACCAAAAAGCACCTGCAATTTTCTCAGTTCCTGGCACTGAGAGACTTGACAGAATTTTGCATAAACTTCTGGATAGGGTGTTCCATCCTTATCCTCTATGCTGCAGAAGGAATACCCAGGTCCATGGCCTGCAACTGAACCAGTGGACCGAGAGCCTAAGAGTATCAGGCTGTGTGTGAGACAGCCTTGTAACTGTCTGTCTAAAAAGCATCTCCAAGCCTTCCTAGGTGCTTGTAGAGCAACCCCAACTGCAGGGCAAGAAAGAAGGTGGGGGAGGCTTATATACCTTCCAGTCTTGGCTGGAGAAGAGCTTGGGATTAGGCAGCTTCCCTGTACAGGTCACCAAAATGTTGTGGCTTAGTGATTTAGGGGTGCTGGGACTCCAAAATCATGATATGTGGGTCCTGTCCAAATGAATTAGACCCACGCCTTCTTTCAGCCAAAGACAAGGTTTATTAGAACATTGGCCATATTGGCCAGACTCTTAAGGAATCTAAGCATTTGTATCACTAATGCAAGCAGGCCAGATCTTCAGACTCTGAGCCCTTGGCTAGACTGTAAGGATCTGAGCCTGTACTGACATCTTTTGGGAAACCCTCTCTTTCTCTCTGTCTCTCTCTGTCTCTCTCTCTCTCTCTGTCTGTCTCTTCTGTGTGTGTGTGTGTGCGAGCGTGTGCATTATCATCATAATCATGATCATCATAGGTAACATTTATATAGCACTCACTATGTGCCTGGCATTGTACTAGTGCTTTAAAATTACTGTTTTAATTTGGGCTTTACAACAACTCTGGGAGGTATTATCTCCATTGTATAGATGAAGAAATTGAGGCTGAGATAATTAACTGACTTGCCCAGGGTCACAAAGCCAGTAATTGTTTGAGGCAGGATTCAAACTCAGATCTTTCCAACTCCAAGTCCAGCACTCAATTCAGTATATACTTGATCATGGCCAAATATCTCATTTTCAAAGTACCAAGCTTTAAATGAATGCTTTTTGATAGTCTGAAAATATTTCTTTTTAATATTCCCTGATCCGTTTTCTCCCTCTCCTCACTCTCACCAAAGAAGTGGAATGAAATCCTATAATGCCTTCCTTAGTGTCACTTCATATTTGTCTTTGATTTTTTTTATGAGTCCCCATAGCTAAGAATCTCACATTGTAGTAGCCAATCTCCTTGTGAGAAGCTTTTATGAACTTAGCTCTGTTGATCCCTGGGCAGTTTGGAAGAACCTGCCAGGGCTTATACCTCATTAGTGTAAACTTCAGAAACTCAGAATCGTATCTACTCCTGAGGCTTAGAGTATAATCTCTGCATTCCATAATTGATATATGCCTATGTATGTATATGTGTGTTTTTCTTTTCAAAGAAACCTCATTTTAAGGAGAAGTTAATTAAAAATTATTATCACTAAAGTAATATATCTAAATTTTATCTACAGACACAATTTTATTGATTTTTTTAAATAAATTATTCTATGGAACAATTCTATGGAATAATGATTTATATATAACAATTCTGTCTATATCAATTTTATTAAGGGCCACATTGATTTTTAATTTGGAAGAAAAACATAATTAAATTTCTTACACTTTGATTGAATGAGAAGGGACCTTGGAAATCACCTAATTTTATCCTCTTTTTTCAGATGAGAAAACTGAAAACCACTTGCTCAAAGTCATATAGCTAGTAAGCAGCCTACTCAGAATTGAATCCAAGTCTTCCGACTTCAGATCCAGTGATCTTTCCACTATACACACTCTTTATCCATTAAAATTGGCTCTGAAACAAAAATATGTTCTACAGTTTGCCTTCCACCTACTTTTCCTATCTTATTTTATGTTTTTTTTTTCATTCACTCTTCATTTCAGTCAAATTGGCCTAGCTGTTCTTTTTGTACAACATTCATTTACATAAGTGATCCTCCATCTTTCTTCTTCCTTTTACTTCTTAGAATCCCACTGTTCGGGTAACACCTCCTACAGGAGGCATTTCTTGATTCCCCCTGCTTGTCAGTATTTGCCAAATACATACATACATTACATGCATGCATGCATACATCCACACACACACACACACACACACACATGTATATATATATATATACATATAAAACTTATAGGTGTACATATTGTATCCCTCTAGTACTGGGGTCATTAAATTCTGTGTGTGTGTGTGTGTGTGTGTGTGATGGATCCATTTAGCAGTTGGCTGAAGCCTATGGAGTCCTTAAAACAGTGTTTTTAAATGTATAAAATAAAATATATAGGATTACAAAAAACATCAAATATATTGAAATGCAGTTATCAAAACCTTACAAATAAATTCACAGACCTCAATTTAGGAAGTCTAGATATGATGGAATGTAAGCTTCATAAGGGTGGGCATTGTGTGTATGCATATATATAAATGTGTTATGTATATGTATGCATATGTGTATATGTTTATATACACAAGCACAATATATATTTTATGCACACAATATATATTTGTGCAAATAATATATATTTTACACACACATATATGTGTTTATATATATAATATGTATATATTATATATATATATAATAGAGAGAGAGAGAGAGAGAGAGAGAGAGGGGAAGAGAGAGATTCATAGTGCTTAGTATAACATCCTGTGCAGTGTTGGTGATTAATAAATGCTTTTAATCGAATTGAATAATATTCCCATTAACTGAATAAAAAGTTCTTATGTCACTTGAAGGTATAACTCAGTAAAATCTCAAGGTGTTATTTTATTTTAGTGTCAAGTCCTGTATAAATACCCCTAAACTTCTTAGGAAGTAATAGAAGAATGAAATCATTCTCCTTGACACAGCCAGGAGTGTTCAGGTATTTATTCAAAGTTGCTCATTTGACCTTAGTACACTATGCTACAGCTTTTAAAATAGCAAACCGATAACTTAAATTGTTCTGAAATGAAAAAAAAAGGAAAATAAAGAAACCCATCAGGAACACAAATTTCAAATCAATTTAGAATGACCCCTAGTACACACACACACACACACACACACACACACACACACACACACACACCAAAAAAACAAAACAGTGCTTGCCTTTGAGATTTTAAAGTATCATAATGAATAACAGCCTTACATCCTAAGATCATTATTCTTTAGAAAGCCTTTTGGATACCAGACAAATTGACTGACTTGGTTTTTGCGAAGGGAATATCAGTGGGTAACATATTGTGTCTATTTTATCTTATCAGAGTCAGCCACTTACTTGCAGAATTCTAGGAGGAATTTGAGTTAGAGTATCAGTAGGTAGCAGGTGTCTTTGTATGTATCTTGTATATTTTAGTTATGTAGACTCCTTAGGTCAGGGTATATGGCTGTGTATCTGTCTTGTGGAGTGTCAAGCACTACAATAGTGATAATATTAATGCTTCCAGCTTGAGTATTTTATACTTAGTTCAGGTCAAAAGTGGCTTACTTCAAATAATAGGGTAATCAGATCCTTACTACTTGTAATTCACAAGTACTGCTTTTTATTCTCAGCGCTTCTCAGTGTTCAGACAGTCCCCAGAAACATATTCTCATTCTCTCTGTCAGCCTTTTTACACACAAAAACATGGAGACTCACATTTACATGTGAGTGAGGATCATAGTTAAAATAAATTACTTTGTATCTATTGAATTTTGAAGAAAATAAAAAGGATCCTAGGGACTGAATCATATATCATTCCCCAAAATATTCCTGAGAAGTACACCTGCTTCTGATTTCATACACATATGGTTATCAGATTACAAAACAATATATACTTTTAGCTTATTTTTGGATTTAGGCTTGTAAGTTACTTTCCTGCTTCTGTATCTTTTTTCTATTAACATTTGAGTTGAACTGCACATATGCTGTTAATCTTGGAGTCAGAAGAGTAATTGTATGTTTCAAACTCTGCTACCATTTTAATGGCATACACTACTATTCAGTTTGGGGCTGCAGTTGAAGAGGCAACAACTCAGTAATCTTATGTATGAACAAGTTTTATAACCCTGTTGGCTAACACATTTTGGCCTCGATTCATCCCTCTTCAGATACATGTTGATACTAGTCTACTGTTCATTTGCAATGTTGGGACTAAATTCAGGAGTTTGAGGCTAATTGTAATATCGTTTAAGATCTGCTACAGTTTTTTATTGTGTATCATTTTGTCTCTGTTATGGAACTCTTTGTTCTATCAATTTCCCAATTGAGGCAAAAGAATGTGTTTTCCCCCCACATGTTCTTGCCTGTTTCAGTGTTCTCAATATTTTTGTTCCTTTTTCACCATCCTCCAGTTACTATTATTGAGGTGTTAGGCAATTAGAAGCTGATATTTTGGATTTCATGTTATCCAAGTATGCAGCAATAGGCAGTCATCTTGGCTACAGAGTACGACTTCTTAACCAAATTTTGGGGGGGTGTGTCATGGACCCCTTTGATGGTTTGGTGAAGTCTATGGACCCCTTTTCAAAATAATGCTTTTTAAATGCAGAAAGTAAAATATATAGGATTACAAAGCAAACTAGGTGTATTGAAATATTGTTCTTAAAAAAGTTTTTTTTTAATTCATACATCCTAGGTTAAAAACTTTTGTTATAAAGGATAACAGTTGCCATTGTACTGTTATACAGCAGAGTTCTCTATATGGGTCTAAAATCACATCTTCTGTGGGAAACCAATCTTGGTGGAGCTACTATTTCTCAGTGGCATTGCAGATCCAGAATAGTTACTGGCCAATTCAAGGGAACTCTCGATAGGAAGGGAGAAATTGGATTCACATAGCTCAAAATAGGAAGTAAACTTGAGGACAAATTTTATTTCTTGCTTGCTCTTATCTTTCTTTTTTTTCTTTCTTCCTTATAATTTAGGCCATTCTGATGATCACAGGCTTTCCTTCTGTTAATTTTGGTAAGTGTGTCCTTATTTCCTTTTGGAATGATAACTGCTATCAGCTTGAGCACTCTGTAAATACTGGAATGCTTCTTTACAGCTTCATTTTTCTGACACATTTTAATGACTGCTTTGCATGCCACTAGTATTTAAATGGCTGAAAGTCTCTAAAAGTGCATTGCTATTCTTTAAATAAACTTGGATGCTACTCACGCAAATAACAAGGGCTTCCATGTCACCTTCAGTTACCAAAATGCCTTTAGGCATGCCAACTATTTGTACTTGTGAAGGTTTTTCAAGGGTTTTGTCCCTTTTCCCACATGATTGACAGGTACTCTGAAGGTTATTTGGCAGTCTCTATTGAAAGTAAGTCCTGCCATGTATGAACAGCTTTAATTAACCACTTTTCATTTTGGCAACCTGATCTTGATATTCTGAACATGTTGTCTTAAAAAAAGGATATTCTGGTACTCACACAATGTTCCTTCTGGAACCCTTCAGTTTCATGTTGAGCAATCTGATGGGAGGGCAACTGTGTTGTTGAAAATAACTTGGGAATTTGGGGCAGAAAGAAATAGGAAGTCAGCACTAGTTTATACATGGGCCCAAATTCACCCAATCATTGAGGAGTTTCTCAAAAGAAGGGAAATTTAGATTCATTGATTCAGTCAGCTGGCATTTATTAAGCAACACCTATGTGGCAAGCACTGTGCTTTGTATACAAAGAGAAAAAAAAATTAAATAGTCCCTGATCTTCAGGAACTTATTACTGAGAGAAATAACTTGTACATAGATCTTATATGTAGTTATTTGTGTATATTTTGCTTCCTCCATTAAAATGTGAGGTCAGGAGCTATCAATGATTTTCTTTGTATCTCTAGCAGCTAGCACAGTGCCCAGCAAATAATAAATATGTATTGGTTATTTGATGGACAAAGTAAATCCAATATAATTAGGAGGTAGCACTAATAACTGGGGTTGTTAGGGAAGGTATGTTGTAGGAGGTGGTTGTTGAGCTAATTTTTGGAAGGAATTAGGGATTTCAGGAGAGAGAGTTGGGTAGGGAGGGAATTCCAGGCACAGATGGGGGGGGTACCTGTGCAAAGAAATGAAAGTGGGAGATGGAAATGTCATGGAAGGGAATACTAAACAGGTTGATTTGGCTTTAAAGAAGAGTTTGTTATGGGGAACTAATGTGTTACAAGACTGGAATGGTAGTGTAGAGCAAAACAGGGTGTTTGTGTTATCCTAGATATAACAGGAAGCAACTGAAGCTTCCCAAGTAGGGGAGCGACATGGTCAACCCGTTACTTTAGGAATATTAATTTGTAAGCTGGAGGGAACAGAAGTATCAAACATGCCAAATTAAAATGAAATTGGGGACTTTTAAAAAAATAAAATTAAAAATAAAAATTAGACATAGATAATGCTAACATGCTGTTCTAAGTCACTATTTATCTGTAGGCATCCTTATGCACAATTCAGTGGCCCCCGTTTTTGTTGAGTTTGGCACCAGTGGTGTAGAAGATGGGTTGAAGAGGGCAGAGACTCATGACAAGGAAACATATTAAGAGGGTATTTGGGACATTTGAAGGGCATATTTGGAGCATATTTGAGGGCATAGGTGAAAAAGATGATGAGATTCTGAACTCAGGTAGTATACATGGAGAGAAAGGAACAGATTAAAAGATGTTTACAGGGCTAGAATCAGTAAGATATGGCAACTGATTGTATATGGGGATTAAGGGAGAGTGAATTGTCAAGGATGACTCTGAGAATGGTAGTACTCAAAAAAAATTAAGAGGTTAGAAAGAGGAATGGATCCTTTTCTCTCAATTTACAAATGAAGAAACTGAGGCCCAGAGTGTTGAAGTGACTTGTTCAGTGTCATATGGCTAGCACGTAACAGGGCTAGGTTTCAATCTCAAGGTCTTTTGATTCCAAATTCAATGCTCTTTCCACTTCATCATATTGTCTGTTGACTTCACAGTGCTTACTGTAGTCTTATTCTAAATAAAACAGAATACTAAGTATTTTTTATTGTTAACTATGTGCCAGTCACTGTGATAAGCTCTGCAGATACAAAGACAAAAATATGTACATGCACTCAAGGAGTTTAGAGTATAATGGAAGAAATGCAATGCATATAAATACATCCATATAAGCAAATATATTATATACATATATTTATATATGATATGGGGTGTGTGTGTGTGTGTGTGTGTGTGTGTGTGTGTGAAATAGAAAGTAACCTTAGTAGGAAAATCTCTAGCAATTGAAGGAATGGAAAGTCCTTTCTGCAGCATGTGATCTTTGAGGTGAGTCTTCAGGGAAGCCAGGGATTCTAAGAAGTAGAAGTGAAAATGGAGACATGGAGGACTGCCAGTGCAAAGGTATGAAAATAAGAGATGAAGTGTCTTATGTGAGGAGCATCAAGTAGGCCAGTATAGTTGGACCATAAAGTGTGTGGAGGGCGATAAAGAACAAGGAGACTGTCAAGGTAGCAAAGGGCCTGTCTGGGAAGAGATTTAAGCAGAGGACTTTCTATTTGATCCTAGAAATAATAGGACATACATGAGTTCATTGAGTGGGGGGAATTGCATGGTCAAACATACACTTTAGGAAAATCACTTTGGCAGCTGAGGGGCAGGGGAGTAGATTGGAGTGAGGAGAGACCTGAGGCAAAGAAACCAATCAGAAGCTTATTATAACAGTCTATCTAGACAAGAGGTGACGAGGGCCTGAAATGGGTGATGACTGTATGAGTGGGAAGAAAGGGATATGTAAAGGATGTTGTGAATCTGGGAAAAAAAACAAAGAATATTATTTTAGAATGTGCTGATTTTATTTGTACAATATAATATATAACATATATGTTGCACACATATGTATCTACACATATATCTGTATAAACATAAAAAACTGTATAAATAAATAAAAAATAATCTGTAAAATGCATGTGTATAAGATAATAAGCATGTAGTGCACACATGCATGTTTATATGTGCTCACACTGTTTATATGTAAAAATATGTGTGTATATACACGCATATGCACATAGCGCACACGCACACATATATATATTGTGTACACATGTGTATAAACACAGAGAGAGTTTTAAAGCACTAAGGCAGCAACTATAATTTGTGATTCCAAGGATGGACCTATATACCACATCATATATATGGCATAGCCTTAAACTGTATCCTATCATAAATTAAGCACTTAAATCAATGTTTGATTTTTGTCTTTGGAAGATACTGAAAGTCATCATGTTGCCTCAGGGAAAGTAGTATCATGTTCACAACTGTGCAGAGAAGCTAGTTTTGGCAGCAATGTTATTGAGTTTCTAACTTACTAGCTGTGTAATAATGGGTAAGTTACTTACCTCTCTCAGCCTCAGCTTCCTCACCTATAAATAAGGAGCCTGGAGTCAATGAGGTCTATCACGGCTAAAAATTTATGATCCTTCAATGTATATATCAAAGTGTGGATTGTGCTCTAGGTAGGCATACTAGGAAAATGAAGGTGTAGTAGTCTAGGTAGGGGTTCCTAATGTCATCGATTTATAGCTAGAAAGGATCTCAGTAGTCACCTAGAATAGAGATGGCCATTGCTTTATATTATGATTAGAGGGCTGAAGAATAAGATAGATTTTGCGAAATATTGGAAATGAAGTATAGGATTTGAGAACAGACTGAGGACATGGAGTGAAGGAAACTGACAATTTCTTGGAGGTGTTTTGTTTCAAAGGGCTGTGGATATAATATAATGGTCTGCCTTTGTGTGCCCTTTCTGAAGATCAGTTATAGAGCTTCTCTCACAGGGTTGTTGTCAGCATCAAATGACAAAAGAAAAAAAGCAAACAAAAAAACATTACAGGCATCAAAATACTATATGATTATGAACGATTATCATTATTGCTCATTGTAAGTGGAAAAAACAGACCCAAGGGAGGATTAGATTTTAATTTGAAGACTTAATAACAAACACTCAAATTTTTAGTTAATGAGAATCAATTGTCTCACCTTAAAAAAAAAAATCTTACAAGCTCTGTTACTCCGGGCAAATGACTGTCTGGGGCTCAGTTTCCTCATCTGTAAAATGAGGGAGTTCCCTTATAATTTTAAATCTAAGATCCTATAATTCTGTAATCTTGTAAACTTACTCTGAACTTTTGTTGGGAATAATACCTATTTTTAACACTTAGGTAATGGTTTAGATAAATATTATCACATAATTTGATTACAAAATGTGTCTGAAACATGCCTGTTTACAGCATGAGATGCAGAGGACAAATGAAAGTATAATTGTATTTTATTTAAGTTTTAGCAACAAGGCTTTTTACATAGAACTAATGGAACAAATAGCAGAAGGTTTAGTTTGAGCTACTTTACTCAGCACATGTAATTAGCTCTACAATATTAGGTACTGAAAGGTAAGTGGTACTACATTAAGGAAATCAAGCTGAACTTCTTGAAAACATTGGTCCTATTGTAGCCTTTTCCCTTCACAAAATACATTTTGCAGAATTGTTTGGTATTTTAGGAGAAATCATGGATGCCACCCTTGATAGATTTTGAGAATATATCAAATTTCACAGTCATATTTCAGCATTGGAAAGTGACTTTGGAGTTATCACAGCCATGATGTCCAAGCTGCTTGAGGCAATAGCAACAGTGCCAATGATGAAGATAAGATGTTTCCCTTTAGGAAATACAAACACAGAGAAATGTTGATCTTTTATAGAGTATTAGAGGCAGCTAGGTGTTGCAGTGGATAGAGCACTGACTCTAAAGTCAAAAAGACTTGAGTTCACATTCAGCCAGATACTTAATTCACTATGTGACCCTGGGCAAGTCACTTAACCTTTGAGTCAATTTCCACATCCGTAAAGTGAGGATAGTAATAGAATCTACCTTATGGGATTGTTATGAGGATCAAACAAGATAATATTTTTAAAGGACTTTGCAAACCTTAAAGAACTGTATAAAAGCTCTCCTCCTCTTCTACCTTCT